AGATGCTTTATCGATTGAGTCACTGACTGTGGTATCCAGCTGAGGTTGAAGTTATCGCTATCTCATCACAACTGTAAGTTACAGAGATCACACTACCAATGCTTAGATTGGAGAGACAGAATAGTCCCTTTATACAGGAGTAGTAGTTACAGGGCTGAGCTTCACAGGTACAAGCCAGTTACAACAGACTGTGACAGCCCAAAGGTAATGTAGCTGAGCAAAGTCCTTTGCAGTAGAAACAATTGGACAAGTTTTAGAACACTAGCCAGGGTAGCAAAGCACACAGAGTCCTCAAGATCTCTCAGTATCTGTACTCGCAAGCCAAGGACAGAATGGTTGCCTCCGTCCAATCTTCCAAGCGACTCTCTCTCCAGTGATACCAGACAGATCTTTGGCAGACAACTCCCCTCAGTCAGCTTACTGTACAACCAGAGTCACTCTCTCTAACTTCAGCCCCTCAGGTCGACCCACCTAATGCCGCATGGGGTAGCCATTGCCAGGTGAGGCTGCCTGGCTGTTCAATCCTCTCTCAGGAAAGACCCAGAGCCCATGTGCTCCCAGAACATAAATACCTTTCCCAGCATGCAATGGGATCACCTTCCCCTGCAATTGGCCAGGGCTGTATCCATATTCATGCTGTTAATTCGCGTAGCCCCTACCTGTGTTCTGGAAGGCTCTCATAGCTCTCATAGGCAGGCAGAATTCAGACAAACCCAAACGACACCAGAGCATCATGAGCAGACCTGACTAATCAATCACAGCACTGTGTTAAGCAGAATACCACACTGATTTTACCTGACAGCATCTTTGGTAAGCAGAGAAACACAGCTATGCTTAACCTAACTATACAAATCCTAGCACTTAACTAGAAGGCAACCTGCATACATATGAACCTATCCTAAGATGTATAGGGGAAGCTTTCAAACAAGAGCTGCAGAAAGAGTGAGTCTGTTATCTTGAGGCAAAGGGATTTAACATCTCCACAGTCAATGAGCACTCAAGATAAACAGTTTAAGGCACAGTTTGTCTGCTAAGCAGCCTACTGATACATGGAACATTGGACTCAAAATTAGCACTGTGGGGCAGTAATTCTACAAGGACCTTGCACAATGTGTTTTGCATGTCTTTTAAATGTGTTGGTGTCAGATGTAACTATACAGAACAAATAGTATGATTATTTCCTTATTTAAAGTCCACTTTGACAACTCAGCACCCATTAGGATGTCAATGGTCATGTCATAGTATGGATCTGAGCAGAAATACACATAATGGTCACTGTCACAAATATACTTATGTAAAGTTGTACCATTGTACACAAAGAGTCAAAAATCAAGCTGTGGGTAAGCATGGTGGATTTATGATCTTTTAAGTGTTAATTAAGTATTTTTGTATGTTACTCTTACCTCCAAGGAGCTGCTTGGTATGATGTATCCCTGTTCTGACACAAATCTCTAAACCATTTCGTATCCTCTGGTATATCTGGTTATATGATAGAAGGCTGTACAAGCCTGTATAACTTAAAGGAGAAGCTCTTTTGGCTGTACTTCTGCACTCCTGTGACCCATTTTCAGCCAACAGCGGGCTAGAGCCCGCTGTCTGATGACGTCTCTCAGCTGATCCAGGCTGGAGAAAGATCCCAACTTTAAAGTCGCGATCAACCCCAGAGTCTGGAGCTGCACCTGGCTCAGCCTCTCACAGCCCAAGGCGTGGGGGGGGGGGGGGTTCAGAGTAGAATCTCTGCTCAGAGCAGCTGTGAGAACCTGAGTTCTCACACCATCGGGGACAGATGAAAACACATCAGATCTTAATGGGGAAAAATATCATGCTGGATATCTGTACTGATATGGACTGGATAATACGTTAGGAATGAAAGCATGCCCCATCGTTTGATGGAAATTACATTTATTAACCTACAGAAGACTGAATTCAAAGACACCCTGAAAATCAAAGTGAAAAAATGATGCAGCAGGCTAGTTCATTTTGCTGAAATTTCATTGCAGCAACTCAAAATGGTACTCAGTAGTTTGTATGGCCCCCACATGCTTGTATGCATACCTGACAAGGTCGGGGCATGCTCCTAATGAGACGACGGATGATGTCCTGGCAGCGTCAGATGGACCAAAACATGATATCCCAGAGGTGTACTATTGGATTTAGGTCAAGCGAGCGTGGGGGCCATTCATTGATATCAATTCATTCATCCTCCAGTAACTGCCTGCATACTCTCGCCATATGAGGCTGGACATTGTCGTGCACCAGGAGGAACCCAGGACCCACTGCACCAGCATAGGGTCTGACAGTGGGTCCAAGGTTTTCATCCCGATACCTAATGGCAGTCAGGGTGCCATTGTCCAGCCTGAAGAGGTCTGTGCGTCCCTCCATGGATATGCCCCCCCAGACCATCACTGACCCACCACCAAAATGGTCATGCTGAACAATGTTACAGGCAGCATAACGTTCTCCACGGCTCTCACATGTGCTCAGGGTGAACCTGCTCTCATCTGTAAAAAGCACAGGGCGCCAGTGGCGGACCTGTCAATTCTGGTGTTCAGTGGCAAATGCCAATCAAGCTCTGTGAGGCAGTGAGCACAGGGCCCACTAGAGGATGTTGGGCCCTCAGGCCACCCTCATGAAGTCTGTTTCTGATTGGTCAGAGACATTCACACCAGTGCCCTGCTGGATGTCATTTTGTAGGGCTCTGACAGTGCTCATCCTGTTCCTCCTTGTACAAAGGAGCAGATACCTGTCCTGCTGATGGGTAAAGGCCCTGTTCAGCTCTCCTAGAGTAACTGCCTGTCTCCTAGCATCTCCTCCATGCTCTTGAGACTATGCTGGGAGACACAGCAAACCTGGCAATGACACGTCATGATGTGCCATCTTGGAGTTGTTGGACTGCCTGTGCAACCACTGTAGGGTCCAGATATTGCCTCATGCTACCAGTAGTGACACTGACCCTAGCCAAATGCAAAACTAGTGAAAAAACTTTCAGAAAAGATGAGTAGGGAAAAAAATGTCAGTGGCCTCCACCTGTAAAATCATTCCTGTTTTGGTGGCTGTCTCATTGTTGCCCATCTAGTGCGCCTGTTGTTAATTTCATCAACACCAAATTAGCAGAAACTGACTAACAACCCCCTCTGCTACTTAAATGACCAGATCAATATCCCAGGAGTTTAACTGACTTGTTGCTATACTCTGATTAAAAAGTGTTTCTTTATTTTTTTGAGCAGTGTATAATTGGGGGAGAAAAAAATAAGTCCATACTTCTCTTTTAAGTAGTGAAATACTACCACACTATTTTAGCACACAAGAAATAGGCCACAGACTACTTGATTGGTAGGTAAATTAAATATATTATTGCAAAGAGAGATAAATGCTGTGCACAAAACTCAATGCAAATGTGGCAAAAAAACGCATAAAAAATGCATAATTTATTGCGTAAAATTTTAACGCAATGCAGAAAAATTGCATATGCATTTTTGATGCATTTTTCATAGAAAGAAGTGTGAAAGCAGCCTAAAAAAGAAATTAGCTGATAATCGAGAAGCATACAAATTTACCCATATAGTCAAATAATGATGATACGTACCAGTTACATGGAAAAAACTACCAGGAAATCTTTTCCTTAAAGTAGTAACAGGAGAGCCCCACAGCCCTGGACTTTAGTCACACAGATTTATGTGGTCCTATGAAAGCTCAGACCTTAGGAAAGAAAAAGGTATTTTCTCATATTCATATATGTCTACTCAACATACACTGCTGTACCTGTTACACAGCAAAGATGAGATTCCGAACCTCAACAATAGCTTGCTCAAGTAAGCAACACTGAAACTCCTCTGCACAGATAATGGCACTGAGTGCACAAGTGGTAAAACATGGAAGCATTGAATTATGTTCCAGACTACTGTACCATACAATTCAGAACAAAATGGTGTTGCAAAGAGAATAAACCATACATTATGTAAAAGTGCCAGAAATGCATCTTTTTATGTACATATGCCAACAACATACTGGGAACAGGCAATTATGACAGCCTGCTATCTCCAAAAGCACTAACAACAAAGAAAACTCAGAATGGGCAATGGAATGGAAAGAAACCTGACCTGAAATACATCAAAATCTTTAGAAGGAAAGCAAACATACCTATTCTTGAAAAGTAAATGTGAAGTATTACCCCCACAATCAGGGCCGTAGATAAATTTTTTCCTGGGGGGGTTCAGCTCCCTCAAACTGCAAGTGTCACAAGATGACGCTTCTTGCACCTGCTCAGTAAGGTTGGATTTGGGGGTGTTTTCTGAAGACAATGGGCCTGTGTGCAAGATCATAAATTTCTTGCCCTAGAAAAAGCGCGGTGTGAGCCTCTGCAAATATTGGGTGTGGCTGTCATTGCGCTGAATTTTGGCCCTGGCTTAAAAGCACACAGAGTTCAGGGGTCAATAGTAAGTGAGGTGGAGGAGAGATTTTGCCTAACAGGGAGAGGGGATTGAAGGGAGACAATTAAACAGTCTGTGCCTAGTCACTGTATACTTTTCACACATATACTACAGACCTTAACCACAAGCATACAGGGCACTTATACCCCCTTCCTGCCCAGGCCAATTTCCAGCTCTCAGCGCTGTCACACTTTGAATGACAATTGCGCGGTCATGCAACACTGTCCCCATATGAAATTTTTATAATTTTTTTGTGACAGATAGAGATTTATTTTGGTGGTATTTAATCAACTCTGGGTTTTTTATTTTTTCTTAAACAAACCAAAAACCACTGAAAAATTTAGAAATTTTTTTTTTTCTTAGTTTTTGTTATAAAATTTTGTAAATAAGTGATTTTTCTCCTTCACTGATGTGCGCTAATGAGGCTGCAGTGATGGGCACTGATAGGCTGCACTGATGGACACTGATAGGTGGCACTGATGGACATTGACAGGCATCACTGATGGGCACTGAAAGGCAGCACTGATATATGGCACTGATAGGCAGCACTGACTGGCACTGTTAGGTGGCACTGACGGGCAATGATAGGTGGCACTGATGCACACTGATAGGTGGCACTAATTGGCATTGATAGGTGGCACTGATTGGCATTGATAGGTGGCACTGACTGGCACTGATGGGTGACACTGAAAGGCAGCTCAGATGGGCACTGATATGTGGCATTGATGTGCACTGGTAGGCACTGATATGTGGCATTGATGTGGCACTGATGGGCACTGGCACGTGGCACTGATGAGCACTGACAGCTGCCACTGATGGACACTGACAGGTGGCACTGCTGGGGCTACACTGATCATCAGGGCACACTGATCATCAGTGCTCTGATGAACAGTGTAGATGTCCCCTCCGCGGAATGCCGATTACCGGCTTTCCTCTCCTCTCGAGCTGTCAGCGTGACAGCTCGTGAGGAGAGAAATGCCGATAACCGGCATTTCCCTGTTTACATGTGATCAGCTGTGATTGGACACAGCTGATCAAATGACCTAGCCGACATCTTCAGCTCTTTCCATGGATCGTTGATCCGCTGTGTTCGAGGGACACAGTGCACCGCCGATCGCCGCGCTGCGCGCCCCCAGAGCCGCACATGCACGGTGAGAAAGGGAGGACGTCATATGACGTCCTCCCAGAATGAGAGAACCACCTTGCACCCGTCATTGGACTATATGGCAGGCGGGAGGTGGTTAAACCCACAAAATACTCCTACTTGTCACAATCTCATAGATACTTGTAAACCTCGGAACGAAGGATCATTTAAAAAAATAATTAAACATTTCCATCACATATGCTTTTCTGCACATAGACACACAAGTGATCACTTTTTCTGTCTGAGCCGACCTTAAAGAAGAACTTCATTAAAACAAATCAACACTTTGGTCAGGACTATGTAATGTACAAGATAATGTATAGAATACAAGGGTCAAGATTAGCAACATACAAAACAACATATAGAGTGCAGCAGTCAGGACAAGCTCACCTGTTCACATCAGATTCCCCCTATCATCATGAATCCACATTAGAGTTCCCCCTTATATCAGAGTCCTCAGAGTCATTCCCCCTTACATCAGATTCCCTAAATTGCCCCTCCTTATATCAGGGTCCCTCCCCCTTACATCAGGGTCCCCAGAGCCCCCCCTTCTTACATCAAGGTCCCCAGAGCTTCCTCTCCTTACATTGGGGTCCCCAGAGACATCCCCTTACATCAGGGTTCCCAGAGACCCCCTCATTATATCAGGATCCCCCGAAAGCACCACCTTTACACTGGTGTCCCCAGAGCCCTCTTCCTTTCATCAGAATCCCCAGAGTCGCCCCCATTTTATATCAGAGTTCCCAGAGCCCCCCTCCTTCCATAGGGGTCCCCAGAGACACCCCCTTTACATCAGGGTCCCAAGAGCCTTGTTCCTTACATCAGGTTCCCCAGAGCCCCTCTCCCTACATCAGGGTCCCCAGAGGCAACCCCTTTACATCGGGGGGCCCAGAGCCCTCTTTCTTACATCAGAATCCCCAGAGACACCCACCCTTACATCAGGATCCCCAAAGTACCCCTGCTTACACCAAGGTCCCCAGAGGCACCACCTTTAGATTGGGGTCCGAAGAGTCCTCTTCCTTACATCAAGGTCCCCAGAGCCCTCTTCTTTACATCAGGATCCCCAAAAACACCCCCTTACATCAGGGTTTCCAGAGCCTCCTTCCTTACATCAGGGTCCCCAGAGCCACCTTCCTTACATCAGGGTCCCCAGAGCTGCTCTCCTTACATTAGGGTCCCCAGAGTTGCCTCCCCAACATTAAACCAAGCTCTCCATAAGCTTCTTCCTCCCCTTGCAGCAGAGTCCACTGTTTGTTTCTCAGTGCAGCCAGCAGCCGAGAGTGAAAGCTGGCCGGTGGGGCACTAGGAGCAGGTCCGTAGGATGAAATTCCTTCCCTCTCCTGTAGCTAGGGGAGGAGCAAACACTTGGTTGGTTGCTAGGACACTGAGTGGTCCTAGCAGCCAACTACTAGATCTGACAGCTGGGGGTGGGAGGTAGTTTTACAGCAGAGGCGGTGATCGTCCCGCTCAATTAAATAAGTAATATTTCCTGCACTTGACACTTTGACAGGACGCTCTGGAGGGGGGTTTGAACCCCACTGCTCCTCCTTATCTACGCCCCTGCCCACAGTTAATGCCTTTTGTATCATTTGCCCTTCCTTTTAGATTGTAAGATTTCACAAGCTGGGCCCTCTTAACCCTTGTCTTGAATTGTTTGGTAACTATAAAGTCTCTCCCTATCGTTTTACAAATCGCTGCACAAACTGTTGGCTCTATATAAAGCTTGTACAATAATATTTGTCAGCTACAGTGAGTCTCAAAAAGGTTACAGAATTCTGATACAATAAGGCAACAATCAGCAGAAATGTAATTATTAATGAAACATTTATGTGTCAAAGGTCTCATGAACTAACACAGTCAGCACCATCTAAATGGCAATGTGACAACCAACATTTCAGGTAAAAAAACAGAATGTCACTTAAAATTAAATTAGGGTCAGCAATGTATCTACTAAAATGAAAGAAGCGGAACCACCTGCTAACTCAGTCATAAAATCTGTGCGATCCAACAAGGTCATCCCAACTAGACACTTGTTATACAGTGGGGCAAAAAAGTATTTAGTCAGCCACCAATTGTGCAAGTTCTCCCACTTAAAAAGATGAGAGAGGCCTGTAATTGGCATCATAGGTAAACCTCAACTACGAGAGACAAAATGAGAAAAAAAAAATCCAGACAATCACATTGGCTGATTTGGAAAGAATTTATTTGCAAATTATGGTGGAAAATATGTATTTGGTCACCTACAAACAAGCAAGATTTCTGGCTCTCACAGACCTGTACCTTCTTCTTTAAGAGGCTCCTCTGTCCTGCACTCATTACCTGTATCAATGGCACCTGTTTGAACTTGTTATCAGTATAAAAGACAGCTGTCCACAACCTCAAACAGTCACACTCCAAACTCCACTATGGTGAAGACCAAAGAGCTGTCGAAGGACACCAGAAACAAAATTGTAGACCTGCACCAGGCTGGGAAGACTGAATCTGCAATAGGCAAGCAGCTTGGTGTGAACAAATCAACTGTGGGAGCAATAACTAGAAAATGGAAGACATACAAGACCACTGGTAATTTCCCTTGATCTGGGGCTCCACGCAAGATCTCACCCCATGGGGTCAAAATGATCACAAGAACGGTGAGCAAAAATCCCAGGACCACATGGGGGGACCTAGTGAATGACCTGCAGAGAGCTGGGACCAATGTAACAAAGGCTACCATCAGTAACACACTATGCCGCCAGGGACTCAGATCCTGCAGTGCCAGACGTGTCCCCCTGCTTAAGCCAGTACATGTCCGGGCCCGTCTGAAGTTTGCTAGAGAGCATTTGGATGATCCAGAAGAGGATTGGGAGAATGTCATATGGCCAGATGAAACCAAAATAGAACTGTTTGGTAGAAACACAACTCGTCGTGTTTGGAGGAGAGAGAATGCTGAGTTGCATCCAAAGAACACCATACCTACTGTGAAGCATGAGGGTGGCAACATCATGCTTTGGGGCTGTTTATCCGCAAAGAGACCAGGACGACTGATCCATGTGCAGGACAGAATGAATGGGGTCATGTATCGTGAGATTTTGAGTGCAAACCTCCTTCCATCAGCAAGGGCATTGAAGATGAAATGTGGCTGGTTCTTCCAACATGACAATGATCCCAAACATACCGCCCGGGCAACGAAGGAGAAATCTGAGTTAAAATTGTAGATGAAAAGATAAGACTTAACCAGCACCATGCTTGTGGATTTATGAAAGGCAAAGGTATAAATACACCAATGGAAACATTCTACCTAGAGTTGGAAGGAGAAAAACACCTTGTGCCTAATAATGGACAATATAGACAAGCAGTGGGGGCACTTTTATAAATTACAACCACTATTTGATGTGCAGTCTGTGCAGATGTGTAGGTAAAGCCCAGCTGAAATGCAATTCCGAATTCAGGACTGAGATCACGACTGAGAGTGAGTAGTTCTACATCCCATTTGCCCAGCTAAGGAAAAAAGAGCACTCTGGTGGGAAACCTGATAGCTCCTTATGTTTCATTATGGTGTCAGATACTGGATTCCCTTGTCAGGGAGTCCCTCAGGCAGCTGGATAAGAAGAGAATTATCTAAAAACCAAGCTCTAGGACTGTTTACTGACTCTGAATGCAAGTCTGTGGAAGATGCCTGTTGCTGATGCTGTGCAGGACTATAGGAGTACCCAAATCTTCAGCAACTCCTACAGGGATAGTGCTACATGCAGGGGCTCGTAAATCAGGGATCTTCTGTAGAAATCTGCACAGCTGTTGCCCCTAGCAACCAGCAACCAACAAGCCGAGAAAAGTGTCATGGAGTCTGGTGAGAAAAGCAGAGTGGGCTGCACTGCTGGAATTGTGACTGTGTTTGTGGTTTCAGGAGCTGTCACAGATGTCTCCCATAGCAACCATGCCAGGCCTATCCGGAAGGCTCCATGCTGCTGTACGGGCGGCCGGTGAAAGAGACTATGTCATTTATTCATCTGTGAATGCCTTTGAAATGTCTGTTGATGCTTTGTTTGCTGGTGCGGCCCATCGGTGTCAGTAGATCTTATCACTGCACTACAGGTGGCTCGTACAAAACACTGTGTTCATGATGTGACTGATTGCTGTGCTCTCACGGTGCTCATTGTTACCCATAGCAACCACAAAGAACTACAGCACCCTTTAGGATTACAAATACTCTGTTGCCCACCAGCGGCTGAGGCCTACATTCCTATTATTACAGAAGCCTGAAAAGATCAATGTTTGCCATGTGTTCCTGCTCATCATTGCCCAGGGCTACCAGAAAGGCCTGCTACCCAGTGGATTACAAATACTCAACTGCCTTACTACGGTTGGGCTCAGTGACCCTCATTCCTCAACAGTGTCCAGCGGGAGGTGTGACCCGTGTCTCGCTGTTGCCCGTGTCAACCATTTCGGACTATTGCTACTACTGCTTTTACAGACACCCAGTTGTTCAACGATGGCTGGAGACAAGCATCTTGCCCTTGTCAATTAACTGCCTTTGTGTTCCTGCCTTGATTCAGTATTGTCAACACTTGCAATTCAGTCAGCCTGGAGCGGCGGGGTTAACACTAGCATGGGAAATTCCCTGCACGGTAGTCTCGCTGGTGCCACAGTATCCAGGAGAGGGTCGTGGCCATGCCCTCAAGACCACATACTACACCCAGCGTGCTGAGAGAGAGAGAGAGTGGAGCAAAGTGGAGGGTGTGCTGCAAGTTCACTCAAAAGTTTTCTCACTAGAGATCATCTTGGTGGACACGGGAGTCCGCCTAGAGCATCATGGATGCTTTGGCCTGGGGCTGATCGCAGGTGCGGAGAGACTGTGCTTGATTTACCCTAAATGCAGGAGGCCAACTGCCCTGAGCGGAGCCTGGATCAGGTGAGGACACTGCAGAGAGCCACTAGACAAGCTGATGCCCAGCAATCTGGCTGCTCGCATCCACAGTGTGG